TTGCATAGGTCTGTAAGGAATCAGGAAGTGGTTTGGTAACTGAGGCAGTGACTGGTACTTGCTCTTTAAGTCAAGTGCTTCAGAGTCTCTTCCCACAGAGCATCTGCCTAAGACCTGTTCCTGTGTGCTAATGTTCTTATCTACTACATTGAAAAGTTTTCATGTGGGTCACAACTCATGAGGCTCACAGACTTCACCTGTCTGGGGAGGCAAAGGAATGAAGAAAGGACAGAAACACAGACACTAGTATGGGAAAACTGGAGTTGGGTGGGCTGTGCTCACTCAAATGAAACTAGCACCAACTACTCAACAACCCTGAACCTCAGTATCTTAGTTTGGGTTTTACTGCTGTGACCAGACACCATGACCAAGGCAACTTTTATAAGGACAATATTTAGTTGGGGCTAGCTTACAGGTTCAGAGGTTCAGTCCAGTATCATCAAGGTGTGAGCATGACAATGTCCAGGCAGGCATGGTGCAGGCAGAGCTGAGAGTTCTACATCTTCATCTGAAGGCTGCTAGCAGAATACTGATTTCCAGGCAGCTAGAATGAGGGTCTTAAAGCCCACACCCACAGTGCCATACCTATTCCAGCAGGACCACACCTTCTAATAGTGCCACTCCCTGGGCCAAGCATGTACAAACCATCACACTCAGTGTGTTTATTCTGTACAGCACATGGGACAGGTCTATTGAGTCTCTGGAAGTCTGCAGGCAGCAGGCTCTGGTTGCAGACATCCACTAGGAGGGAGCTGCAGCTGCTGGTTGGTGCACAGACTGGTCCATTGGTGCACAGACTGGTCCATCGGTCATAAGCATTTGTACTTGTACACACTGTCAACATTTGTTCTTGGAGCAGAGAAAGGACAGTCCCTCTGAGCTTGGCATGGAGGAGGCTTTGCCAGACCCTTTGGGTCTGAGGTTCTTGGCATGGCTATGCCCATGTCAACAATTTGCACTTACTCAGGGCTTCCTTGGCTCCCCACAAATATGTGTATAGATGGGCATGGGATGCTTCTGGCTTATAGCCATATTACCAAAGGGCACATAAGTTAAAATCCTCTGTCATTATTTTCTTTTTCTCCCCTTACAGAAGTTGTCATTTTTATAATCAAGTTTATAATTGGGCAGGTTCATTTTTGTCACAAACTAGGATCCCTCCACCAGGTCACCCAGCAGGCATGTCTGAGGCATTTTCTTGATTGCTAAGTCATGTAAGAGAGCCTACCCATGATGGGCGGTACCATCCCTGAATGCTTGGGTCAGGGTGGTATAAAAGGCAGCTGAGCATGCTAGGAGGGAGAAGCAAGCCAGTCAGCAGTGTTCCTCTATGGTTTCTGCTTCAGTTCCTGCCTCCTGGCTCCTGTTTCAAGTTCCTGCCAGGGCTTCTGATGTTGGACTATAAACTCTGAGCACCCTGACCCCGTCCAGGTTGACTTTCATCTTTGCGTTTAATCACACCAACAGAAAGCAAGGTAGATCAGTAACTCTCTTTTTATATCCACATGCTTGGATTCAACTGTGATGTGAAACCTCCAATTCATTGCCACTTAGTCCATAAGATTAATAAATAACCTATGTCAATTTAGAAACAAGTGGGAGAGATTTACTGTTTTTTAAATTCTTAGTTGAGCTATGGATCTCATAGAGAGCTTACAGATGGCTTGCTCCAACACCAAGAAACATCCTCCTTAAGTTTGTTTCAGTAATTAATTACTCTCTTTTCTTTATTTATCCATAATTTCTTCCTCCTCCTGTCAATACACCCACGTTTTGAATCATTCAACAAATGGCTACCACTACCCATGTGGTGCCCAGCTGGGTTTCTGCAGCAGGATTTGTCTTCTTCATGACCAATAATTCTGGAGGCTGTCCTCAGCTTTGGCTTGCCTGATGTTTCCTCCTGTTTGAAGTGAGCCTGGCAGAGCTCATTGCTGGCCACATTGGTTTTGACCACGATTCTGGCCTGCCACACTTACTGCTGTGATGTCTTCCGAATCTCCCCTCTGTTCCTTAGTAGCAGTGTTCCTAACTTGAGGTCCCTATTGTATGAGAATTTTCAGATAACCACAGGGTTATTGTCTTTTCTCATCCACCAGTTTCTTAGTTTCTCATTTCTATGTATCTGTTAGAGTAGAGGAAAGAATCTTTGTGTGCTTGGCTTTTTTCTGATCTCTGTGTTCATTCTCTGGATTTTGTGTATAGTGGCCACAGTACCTATGAAGTGGATGAAGGCAGAGTTGCATGTTCCCTTAGCTGTGCATTGTCAGATGTTGCTTTTCCTGCCCATAATTGGCAAGCTGTAAAATTTTGATCTGTGTATATTTAAGTTTTTCTCAGCAAATATGAAAACAAATACAAAATTTTGTTTTATATTTAAGGTTGATAAAAATTTAACAAAAGAATTTTCCTACTAGTGGTGATATTTAATTAATTAATTAATTTATTTTTTATCAAGAGCTATGTGTTCTTGAGAGGACAGGTTTCTTGTAAAAGCAAGCTTAATTGGAACCTCACCTGTAGTGGGTCATTATAAGAAAGTATCCCAAGCTCTTCTGTGCCAGCCTGCTGTTTGAGTTTCGTTATTGCAGAAACTATGGTTCCAGTTTTGTTCCTTACACAGTTAGAAGAGGCAAGATCCTCTATACTCCATTCCTTTGGGGGCCTTGAAGTCGCCTTGATTCATTCAATAATACATACATACATACATACATACATACATACATACATACCATGACCTGACGGTCAGTTTTATAGAAGAAAATAAAACTGTTTGCAATAGTGATAGACTTGAAGACTTCCTTGTGAGCTGATCTTGTTCTTAATGTGGGATGTCATCTTCAGTCACCATCAGATTTTGTTCTTAATGTGGGATGGTTATCTTCAGTCACCATCAGATTCTAATGTTATTTCTTACAGTAGTTCATAAAGACCTGAAGGAAATGAACCCTTTGTTATACAGTGTAAAATTTAACAATTTATTGAAAGGAATTCCTGATTAAGAAATTCCTGTTTTTTTTCTTTGATATTTGGAAAATGAATGCTGTAGTACTCCAGAAATTTCTGTGGTTATTGGATGGGTATGTGGAGGGGAGTAAAAGTGGTTAGTTCTCTTTTCTATTAATCACTAAAGAAAAAATTAAATTTAAGTTAAAAAGTTCATTGTAAGTAAAGACTGAGAGGGAGAAATCACACCAAGATCACTGTCACTACAGGGCTACCTGTGAGGCAACTGTTAGCAGGGGATGTTGCAAATGCCGTATTTGCAACCATACTATACTATAGACATATGCTTTTATAATAAACTAAGGAACTTGGACTCTTAGAGAGGAGATCTGAGGGATAAAGAAGGCCTGAACTAGGGGAGGGGCAGAAAGGGGTGAGTTCAGAATACTCTGGCCTTGTGTTTTTCAGTAAGGTAGACCCAAGCTGGTCTTCACCTGCCTTCCTTTTGCCTTAAGCTCCTATGTTCTTGGATGTCAGGTTGAGTGACCATTCTGGCTAAGTTCAAGTTGAATTAAGGATGTTAGACTATCAGAATATGAAAATAAAGTAAATCTAGTTGATGAGAGACAATTTTGAGACCCTGTCAGAAAAGGAAGGGTGTAAGACATGCTGGTTAGTTCTTGTCAGCACAAGTAAAGCTTGATCATTCCATTGCTGCAGTTACCTGGGAAGAGGCAACCCCATTGAGGAATCCTGTCCATCAGATTGGCAAGTCTGTGGATATTTTCTTGGTTAATGACTGATGTGGGAGGGCCCAGCCCACTGCAGGTGGTGCCATCCCTTGAGTGGGTGATTGGGTTATATAATAGCGGCTTCTGCTTGAGTATCTACCTTGTATTTCCTCATTGGTTGTCACCTGGAAGTTGTAAGATGAGACAACCCCTCCCTCCTCAGTTGCTTTTGGTCATGGTATTTATCACAGTATGAAAAGCAATCTAGGATAGAAATGAAGCCGATATGGGAGAAATGGGATGTGCTCAGTGTTGTAGGGGGAGCCCTGGGTGCTGTGGGGTCTGATTGCAGACATCTATGCAGTGCAGGCATGTGGACCTGAAGCTTGGGAGAGCTGGAGTTTGGAAATAGATTAGCATAGAAAAGGTACCTGGAGCCTAGGGATGGAGAGTCCTTGGAAGCAGGATGAGCTGTTGTGAGTAGAAGCCATTGTGATGAGTGTAAGTCTGGACCTATATTTAATGAGCTTAGAGTAAAGGAGAGCCCATTGTTCTGAGAAACTCCAGTGCCATGAAGCCAAAGAGGACGAAAGGAGTGGCAAGATATAGTTAGCAGCGTTAATTCTATCTGTGTTGCATGCAGAGAGATTTGAATTAGATTTTCCTCTAAAGCTGATTTTCAGGGAGTTTGATGTAAACATTTGTGCTCAGGACCTGCACATTAAAGGAGACGCTTCACCATTCTCTGGGTCATTATTATTTACTCCCTGTTTCCCTCCATTACTAATTTTCTTAAATCCACGGGGATGCAGTACTTACTTATCAGTTCAATCAGCCAAATGTCAGCATCGAATATCACACTAAAACAGAATGTGTTTTAATGACACATTAGCAAACACTGTGGTCTTTAAGCTTCCCTTCCCAGATTTTTGGTTTTCACAAGACTCATGGAACAGAGGCCAGGCCATTACCTTTGTTTCTCTTCTCCAATTAAGGAATTTGTTCCCTTGTTTCATTACGTTACCCATTCACAGATAACTGTTAGTTTTCTATTTCATTGGCTATGTAATCTAAAATGTAATGTTTCAAAAAACCCTAGAGATCCTCTCCAGCTCTCTTCATTTAACAGATGAATAAACAGGCACAAAGAGGTAGAATTGTTTGCCTGAGGTCAGAAAGGCAGAGAAAACAAAATTGAGGCTGACTCCACCTGTCCTATCTCTGTCTCTAGAACCAGGAACAGGTTAGTTTCAGTGCAAGTGTAACAGGCAGGCCCTGCTGCTCTTGCTGATTTCATCTTCCCTTTGTATGTCTTGGAAACAGTGTGCTGTTCGAGCTGCCACAGAAGGCAGGACGCTGGTTTTAGAAGGCTTGGAAAAGGCAGAGAGGAACGTGCTTCCAGTATTGAACAACTTGCTGGAGAACCGGGAGATGCAGCTAGAAGATGGGCGCTTCCTGATGTCTGCCGAGCGCTATGACAAGCTTCTCCAAGTAAGAGAGGGAAAGCCAGCTCCTGGCCGCTGCCTCGGGAGTGGGATGTATCTCTGAACTGAGACAAGTGCTCAGGTGGACCTTCGGTTTGGCAAACTGCCTGAGTAAATCATGAGTTTATATGATTTTGAGAGGCTTCCATCTGCAAAGACCTGGATTGCTGGGTCCTCCATTTCTTTGACACCTCAATAGCTATTCTCCTCTTACCCATTTTTCTCCTTTTTCCTTCTTTATGTTAACAACCATCAAGGCAATGACTTTTAGACAGTGCTGAGCATCTGGGATACAAAAGTCCACTTCTTAAACTCAGAAAACGCAGTGTTCAGCGGGACTGACAGATGTGACGAGGATGTTAAGAAGCTACTCTGGGGGCTGGAGAGATGGCTCAGTGGTTTAAGAGCAGGTGCTGTTTTTCCAGAGGATCCCACTTTGATTCCCTGCATTCACTTGACAACTCACTGCCTCTAACTCCAGTCCCAGGAGCTCTGCTGTTCTCTCCTAGCTTCTAAAGGTCCCAGGTGCACACATAGTACATAGACATACATGCAGGCTAAACCTTCACACATGTAAAATACATTCACTAATATTTCCTGCCTACCACTGAAGTTAACTCTGCTTCCATCCCTGCTCTCCACTTGGTACTCAACACCCACACCTGAGTCAGTGGTTGATTTGAAACTTGTGTCTCCCACCTGTGACCCCAGCGTTTCACAGGTTGAGGCAGGAGAGTCAGAAGCTCAGGGTTACCCTTAAGTATCTAGTGAGCTGTAGGCCCACAGGGATGCTTATGACCTTGTCTCATAAAACCAAACCAAACCAAAATAAACAAATGTGAATCTGTACTGTGCTCTGACCCTAGTGGCTTCCTGTTTCAGAGTAGAAATGGGGACCCTTCCAGTGCAACAGGACACCCACATAATCAGGCCCTTGTCACCTCTTTCCTCAGGTCTTTCTATGTGCCCGCTTTTTAACTCTTGTCCAGCAACTAGACACTGCTATGCTATATTTATTCAGTAGGCTTCTCCCTGGTCTAGACTTTGCACAGGTATTTTCTTGTTCCTGAAATGGGTTTTCCCAGGTGTTTGCTTGTCTCACTCCTACAACCCCTTCAAGTCTTTGTTATGTCATCGATGAAACTCACCTTGCTGCTCTAACTTACATTTCAGTCTGTCCTCTATGTCCATACCCTCGTGAAGCTTCAGGTCCCCTGTGCTGTCTCCTGACACTCTGTAGGGGTTACTTATGTTCTAGATTTACTGCCTTCTCCCTCTATCAGTGTATACGTTTTAAATGTGCAGGGAATTTTTCACACCCTTTGAAGAATGTTTAGCATATGATATTCATGAACTATTCTGATGTGACATAATGTGTACAAAGAGGGCAACACTTATGGACACTTGTGAGCCATCACATGCATGCTGGGAATCTGTTAGAGCAGCCCCTACTCTTCACTACCTGTCCATGGAGAGCTCTTCACAGGCTGTAGCAGTGAGGCAAGCAGTGATGAGAAGCTTCATCCTTGGTCATTAAGCTTTAGCTGCACTACACTGAATCTCTCAGCACTGGTGCAGCCTCTACAGCCAATTGACACTCTGCAACTGGAAGTCTTTCTCACATTTTTTTTACAGGTATGCATGTACTAATCTGTTATACTTTGCTCAAAAGTGGCATCATATAATGCTCTCTCTCTCTCTCTCTCTCTCTCTCTCTCTCTCTCTCTCTTTCTGTGTGTGTGTGTGTGTGTGTGTGCACACGTCTCATCTCCCTGAAGGAATCCTGGGGTTACAGATGTTTATTACATGTGTCTGGTTTTCACGTGGGCTCTAGAGATTCAAATTCAGGTCCTCACACACTGCCAGTACGTTCACCCACTGAGCCCTCTCTCCAGTCTGTGTCCTGTACTTCACTCTGAAACTGCTAACACAGACCTAGAACACGATGGCCCCTTGATAATAGATATTGATATGGGAGTGTCTCTGAATGAACTGATGCTCTGAGTCCTGGACACAGGTCTGCTTCCCTATAACTCACCTTGTAACAGTGTAGCAGTCTGTGGAGGTACCTACGTGGTGGTGTCCTAGCTCAGCGGTCATTTTCTCCTAGATACCTGTAAAAATGATCTCATCCTACTATAGGTAGATGATTGTAGATTTAATCAATAAGAAAAAGTTATATTTATACCTTCATGTTATCATAGTTTGTTTATTATAGACAATAAAGGCAAATTTTATAGTTTGTCATTAAGAAAAGGTGGATATCATGTAGAATACTTTCCTTTTAGCCACTTTCAAGTTATAAAATAACTATACACAACTAGAGATTATATTAGTTACTTACTAATCTTAGTAAAATTTTTAGAAAAATATTACTAAAGCACATAATTATTTTAAAGCATACTATTACTTCATACCGACAGATCGGTATATTCTTTATCCTTACAGCAGAATTTATTGAATATATTATTGCTTTCGATACAAACTCAGGACATGAGAAATACAAAGGGAGTTTTAGCACATGAGGCATGGTTATCATCAAGTGAGAAGGATCTAGCTATATTGTTTTTTCCCGAGTAGTTGTTAACATAAACACATACTTTTTATTGATAAATATTTCTGATTCCTCAGGATCTCATGAATATAGATATAGGAATATATTTTTCTTAACACATATCCTATGGTACTTTCTGTGGATATATCTATATATCTATATAATCTATATATCTATATACCTATATCTCTATCTCTCTATCTCTTTCTCCATCTCCATCTCTGTCTCCGTCTCCGTCTCCATCTTCCACAACAGAAGTCCCACTTTGTTTTTGCTAGGTTCAATTCCTAAGTTTTAACATCTCAGAAGCCTTGGAGCTGGAGAGGTGGCTCAGTGGATGAGAGTGATTGTTCTGCACATGAAGACCTGAGTTCAGGCTCTCAGCACCTACATAAAAATCTGATCATGGCTGCATGTACCTGTGACTCAAGTATTGGGGGGCAGAGAGAGACAACCCTAGAGTTCGCTGAGCCTGAGCTTGAGTCACCACAATCTCCAGTGTGAAAGCACTGAAGGGAAACGTGGTAGAGGACGATGCCAGGTGTCCCCTTCTGACCTCTGCATTCATGCACCTGTGTGCATGCTACCAAGCTGAGGCTCACCCTATGCCTGAAGGCAGGTCTGCCCACCTACCCTCCATAGGCCATTCAAAAGAACCAAACAAAAAGTAGAGCCAGAGAAAGGAGATTTATCCAGTGGTCACATGGGGAAGAACGACAAAGAGATCCAACAAACCCTTGAAATCCTTGTTCGTTTTTGGGGCCCTGAGGTGAGATCTGTGTTTAACTATAAGGCCAAGGATGGGGAGATCTAAACAGTCCCGGTCAAGGTGCAGTCCCGCCCACCACTGTCCGTCACTGCAGAGGCTTCAGTCTCATTTTGTAAGGTATCTGACAAATTGTTAGAATGGTTTGAAATCTCTTCCACAGAGACTGTTTCCCCTCTGGCTGGTCCCCTTTCCTTCTCCCAGCATGAGATCCCTGGTGATTCTCACTTCTTTTGGGGCCCATTGTTTTAATAGTCTAATTGTCAGATTGAAAGATACAAGTGTCTTATTAAAGTATCTTAATTTCTGTCAAATTGGTTATGTTCGCATCAGGTGCATGTACCCCCAAACTCAATTACATGTACTATACCTACCATGTCTGTCCCTCTCCTCTCTCCCGTCTGGCTCTCTGTCATGCCCACCATCTAGCTCGTCCAGTTCTTACTCTCTTACTGGTTTGTTTATATTAGGAAAGCGGAGTTTGGTTATTATAGAAATAACATTTGTATATACTCCATATTCTGATTATCTGTGTTTTGACGATTTCAGACAAGTCTGAGTCCAAGCATTTGTCTCCTAGTGTATGTGGCGTACTGTCTTGAGGTTACTTATTAGAGTTACAGTAATAGATGTGTGATTTCTGATTTCAATTATGATTAATTACTTTAAGAGCTGGTTCATACAATCATCCAACAGACTTTCTCTAAGTTCTTTTGTTGAACTTTGAACATTTGTGCTTATACTGTACCAGTGGAAGGCAGTTCCACTGCAAATGCATTCACACTAGTGATGCATGCTGTCTTTGCAGTTGTTGGTAAGTTGAAGCCACAGGATCATAAAAGGTGGGGGTTGCTGAGACTGGGACAATCAGACGCAAAGAACGACAGGGAAGGTTTTGAATACCATGTTAAATATTTCTATACTATCATAACTAGTGTACCCTTGGAAAATCTAGTCAAAGCTGTGGACTTAGAAACCTTAAACCACTGGGTTTTAGCCTTTCTAATGCTGTAGTTCCTCATGCCGTGCTGACCCACCATAACATTATTTTCATTGCTACTTCGTAGCTGTAGTTCTATTACTGTTATGAATTGAATGCATCTGTGTTTTCTGATGGTTTTAGGCAACCTGTGGAAGGGTTGTTCAACACCCCTAAACGGGTTGCTACCCACAGATTGAGAACCACTGTCTTAAAAGTGTGTGCATGCACAAGTGCCCTCATGTCTGTGTATATACATATGCTTTATGTATATGCATGCATATACGCATTTATGGACTTTGAAGAATATCATGAGTCTGTATGACTGATGAGTCATTGATAGAGTTAGACAGAGAAGAAAGGCACATTTACCAGAGTCTGCCTGGTGGATATATGTGGCCATTCATATATATCCTAATGTTTAGGTTTTGTGGTACTCAGAACCATGTAAGTTATATTATTTATACATTATATGTGAGAAAATTGAGGCTCCTGGAGTCACAAATATCTGTGGTGGTTTAGCTAGAGCTTGTATCAAGTGGCTGAGTCACAACCTATTATGTCTCCAGAATAGCCTGTTGCTCTTCTCTCAGCTCTGCCTCACACTGGAGGGATCATGGGCATGTTATGAACCCCTTTGACCTCTGTTTTGTTCATTCATATAATGTTGTCTGTCTGTATTGTGGCTAATTACTTGAGAATTTGTGGGCTGTGGATGTGAAATTATGAAAAGTTAAATCAGAAAAGTGAGTTTTAAAACACTGATATTACTAGTCATATGCCTTAATAGAAGTACATCTACAAGGATAGTTCCCTGTTTAAGGTCTATGGGCAGCCTCGACTCTGGTGGTTAGTCTGTTCTAGGTGCAACTTTTTGATATTATCTGCCCTCTGGCCCTCTTCTTTCACATCATGGACAAGAGCATGGCAGTCTGTCTCAGGCTCCTTTGTTCCTGGGTGTGTGGGCTATCTTTCCTTCCTAACAGCACAGTCTTCAGGCTCGGAGCTCTCCGTGGCATCGGATCCTCGTGTGTTTTGCAGTATTCCTCACCTCTCAGCATTCTTGCCTTTGAAGTCCGTGTCGCTGGCCCTGGCAGCTGCAGTGTGCATCACTTCTGCTGTCGTGTTTGATCTCTCACTTTCATAGGACCACACTAAAGAGGAGCTGGACGCGTGGAAGATTGTCCGAGTCAGCGAAAATTTCCGAGTGATTGCCTTGGGCTTGCCAGTGCCCAGGTACTCTGGGAACCCACTAGATCCCCCTCTCCGTTCTCGATTTCAAGCCAGAGATATTTACTTTCTACCCTTTCAGGTAAGTATGCCAAGGACATAGTGCTTGAAATGGTTTTTATCTATAATAAGACATTAAATTCTATATCAATGTTAGTATTTTTTTGTCTTTACTTATTTTTTTTTAAATTTTTAGGTTGCACAGTCTTTTATAAAAGATTTATTTATTTATTTAATGCATATGAGTACACTGTAGCTGTCTTCAGACATACCAGAAAAGGGCATTAGATCCCATTACAGATGGTTGTGAGCCACCATATAATTGCTGGGAATTGAACTCAGGACCTCTGGAAGAGCAGTCAGTTTTCTTAACTGCTGAGCCATCTCTCTAATACCCCCTGCCTTTTTTTTTAAAGGCTGCCTTTGCATTTATTAAATAGAATATATCATGGAATGTTGTAAATTACAGTGTCTACTTAATTAAAAGTTTGGTTTATCTATAAAGCATTTGTGTTTCATCTGTTGTATTCATTATTAATTGGTTGTATATGTTTCTACTATTTAGGACCAACTAAAACTATTATATTCAGTTGGAGCCAATGTTCCTGCTGAGAAGTAAGTATACTTTATAAATATTGGATGATTAAACATTTAATTTGTTTAAAAATTAAATTTGTTGTTAAACCAAAAAAAATTGCTTAGTAGTTTAGTTTGTTGAGTCTTTCTAGAAGGCTTCACAGAGACATGCACATTGAAATGAGTCCAAAAGTATAAGTCGGCCTTTGCAGACAGCTGCGAGTGAAGCAAGATCCTAAGGATTTCAGCACAAAGTGGGGACTTGAGAGCTGTGCCTTCTCCTCAGCGTCCAAACACTTCCAGTCCCTACAGCTCAGCTTTGAGCTTTAGGAAGGTGGGGACACAGCTCACACGATGGATTTAGACCAGGTTGTACAGCGCTCACATGTTGTGATAGATTAGAGGAAATGTCTAGATAGCCAATCAGTTTCTGAATTTTTAATGGGATATGATATGAACCATGGGTCTTTAAGAATTCATAGTATATTTTGTGTTTCTTAGATTAATGAAATCAGCCTAATTATTTTAGACATAATGTATATTTTACATGTTAAAATTATCAAATACAATTTGAACATTGTCCCTCTAGGATTTCTCAGCTCTTGTCCTTTGCAACAACCCTTTGCTCCCAAGAATCTTCTACACTTGGGCTTCCAGACTTTCCCTTAGATAGTCTGCCAGAGGCAGTTCAAATCCTGGTAAGTATAAAATAAACTGTATAAAATAAATAAAATAAAATAATTGAACGGCAGATGCATATACTCAAATGAGGCAAAGTCAAATTGAAGCTTATCATTAGAGATTGGTTACTTGAGCTGTCTTGTCATTTTCTTCTATAAAAGGCCTGAGATGGATGTGTGCACTGGAACAAACTGTGCAGACACCAGTGGCCTGCTTGGTCTCTGGGGAGCTTGCAGTTTTGAAGGGAGAGGTAGAAATGCAGCCTTCTGGGGGTTCCAGGGGAAAGACAACTGATCAAAGAATAGATGCGCCATAGGGAAAGAGATGGCTAAGCTGACCCAGCCTGAGGCAAGGCAGCTGAACTTTCCCGCACGAGCTTCCAGGAGTCACTGCTTAGTGGTTATCCTAAAGACACAGGTTTCTAGGTGCTGGCAGGTCTCCCAACTTGTCAAAAAAGATGGTTCCAGGAGCCTAAAGGCGGCCTTTATTTGCAAGATTTTTATAAGTGTGGGAAGGGAGAGAAAGCTGGGCCACATGTAGAGAGCCTAAGAGCAGACCTGAATACATTTGCAGGGAACACAGTTATTTTTCTCAAAGCATGGGGCGTCCTGTGTGGAATGATGGGAAAGCTTTCAGGGCAGAGGGTACATACAGAATGTTCAGCCACAGATGGGCCTGGAATGTTTGCAGAATGAGAACAAGTTGTATCGTTAGAACTACGTGTTTGTGGTAGAGATAGAAGTTAGAACCTTTACTGTGAGTTACTTTGTTGATGAGTAAGCCTGCTTGGGTTTTGTGGTGAGGGAAGAATGGCCCACCAAAGGTTGTGAAGTAGGTGGAGTGTGATGTGATCGTTCTATGTTCATGGAGATACCTCCCTCTGTTAGAGACAGGAGACTAGGGAGAGTCTCATTCATGGCAGTGAATGGGAGGAGACTCTTGAAACAGAGCGGGACCCTGCCGAGGAAGGCTTCATCTGAAATGAGACCCTTAAGCTTGTTGCTTTTCCCCAGTGTTTGCAGGTAGTCAGACAGTTTTCCTGTCTATTGTTACATTGTTGTGTATACCCGGCATACTTCTTGTTTACTAAATTCTATATATCTCTTTTCATTCTTCCTCAGTAATTTTTACTTTGAAAATTCTCTAGTCTGAAAAAAAAAGTTTAAAAATAGCAAAGCAAACCCTCATAGTGTCTTCAGTTAGAAGCCCCTGCTGTTAACGTATTGTCACCCCTCATTGCATGTGTACCCTTCCACCCCCAACTTCTTCTGAGCTACTTGAAGGTAAAGACAGTGTTTTCTTAAAGTGCAACTGCTAAGAATTGGAGCACCCTGTATGTCCAGAGCATGGCTCCCTTGCTCGATGGCTTGTTAACAGTGATTCAGGAGAAGGTCTAATAGGCAGTAACTCCCTGAATGGGATGAACAGACTTGAGTGCAGTACAATTTGGATGAAGAATTTGAGGCTAACGAACCCTTTGTAACTTTGGAGTTATAATTGTGAGGCTTGATGGATATAGATGAGATTAATTCAGATTAATAAAAGATGGAAATGTGGTGCTTTGAGTGAGTTGTGTGCTCCTGCAGGAGTGTCAGATCTATATACTGTAGGGTCCTATGTCAGATAGCTTAAGGCTTTGATCTAGAGCTCCAGAACGAGGCCAGAACTAGATAAAGGAGCATGGGGACCAGCAATCCAGAGGAAGGTGAGAGTGTGTGACTCTCTCAGGGGTATGATGCAGGACAGGAAGAAAAGAAGGCTTTGCTTTTTTACATTGCTGCAAGATACTTTTATTTCTGCTTCTGGGAAAATAAAGCAACTTCACCATGATATACATTTAAGATCCACTGTCTGTGACTGAGCTGTTGCTGACCTCTATATGTGTCTGCTCCTAACTAGGACTCCTTTCCCATGATGTCCATTGAGCATGCAATCCAGTGGATGTATCCGTACACCATTTTACTAGGACATGAAGGGAAGATGGCTGTGGAGGGTGTTTTAAAAGTGAGTATCTGCTTTTCCTTCCTCTCTATCTTCTTCATTTCACATTCCTTTCCATCTTACTAGTTTTCTGTACCCCTCTTATTTTTCCTTACCCATCTTTTTTTGTCTTCCCTTCTCTCCTGAGACAAGAAGCATTTGATGCCAATAACATGAAAGCAGTGGTGGGAAGCACACATTCAGGCGTGGGTGTGGCTGGGAGATTTGTTATACAGGGCAAAGAAGCAAATACAGCTGAGCAAAGGAATGGGTATGTTCACTGTAGTAGGAGTCATGTATCTATCTCACT